TGCTCAAGCAGAATGTGGCAACCTGTTGCGTTGCTGTCTTGTGCTCACGCACACCAATAGAGAAGTTGCCATTTATGTGACGTCGCTCCAGCCACTCTCTGACCTGGAAATCAATGAAAAACCAATCTGTGAAATTTTTTTTTCATTTTGTTTTTATTTTATTTAATCAAAGGCAGTTGGACACTTGTGATGTTTAAGCCCATACAAAAGTAACATTTTATCAAAAAACCTATTCAACCAGTAACTAACTACATACTAAGAGCTGTAACCTCTGCAGTGAGACTACTTACTTGCATGTTGTTCACAACACCCGGTCTCTGGTAGTGCTTCAATAGGATGATGCCCTCGCAGTAAGACCGGTACACCGTCTTCTCTTCACTGCTGAGTTGAGGGGGGGGGGGGTCTCCATCAGTTTGCCGAAGGTGCAAAGCATGTTTTTATGTGCCACCCGAAGGACCTTCTGACACTCATGCAGGCTTCACTGGCCCGTAACATAGATGCCATACCTAGAATGAGACAAGGAAATCAACACAATCAGCAAACAAACTTTTTAAAAATAAACTTTAAAAAAAATAATGCTCGGATATTAACATCTGACCTTTTGTCCACAGCTCTGGTGCTGTGTTGCTTAGCCACTGGCTTCCTCAGTGTACTGAGCAGATCAATGTAGGCATTGCATTTCCTGTCATAGTCTTTATCTTTACTTGCGAAGTTCAGGTGTGTCCTCAGGTAGCTCACGAACCGGATCATGTTCTTTATGTAGTTTAGAACGGTGGCAGGTTCCATCTTGGCCTTCTTTAATTGGTACAGGAACTCTTTAGTCTCTGTGCTCTTGGTGAGGAAGTCCAAGCTGATTTAATCTCCCACGGGCTGTATGAACCGCAGCATTCTGGACACATTGTCAACCTATGAACAGAGATGAACAGAAGAAGCATGAAATAGACACACCCAAACAATACACACATAATCTTGTTTTTGTCTGAAAATGAAGAAGAAGAATTTACTTTCTGCAAGAAAAGCATAAAGTAAATGTGATGTGTGATATTGGTTAATCTTACCTCCTGTGGGCAGTTCGGGACATTCAGGGCGTGTAAAAGGTGCTGCTTGAAATCCACCAAAAGTTTGGTTTCATTCGCGAATTTGTTATACAGCCCCATCTTACTCATGTTAACCCTAACGGTGGTCATGTGCCTGGCTTGAGGTCTATGAAAATACAAACACAGAAAATTAGCTCAAAGGATTTTACAGGGTTGTTTGCACAGTCAAAGATGAATCTGATTGAACCACTTATTTTTGCCATGTTGGATCAGCTTCTGGAGCAGCTTCCTCACTGGTAGAAATCGAGCCATCCTCACTATCTGCAACTGGTGCTGGTGCCGGGGGTCGAGACTTGCGTGGTTGCACTGGTTGATGGCTGTTCATCATCCAAAATATGGTCATCAGTGGGTGGGTTGGAGACAAAGAAGCCTCTTCCCACAAGCTCACGATAAAGCGCCAGGCTGGCTTTTTTGTCCATCAATCTTCTGTATATCACATTGTAGTCCCAATTTCTGCCTTGCAAAATGAAGGCTCTTGCAGACTCTTTTGCCCTCTTCACTTCTGCGTCTCTCTCTGCAGGGGTGTGAGTCCTCATGCAGGATCTCGCCAAGTGACTCGATAGCCTGTCCCTTAACGGTGGTCATGTGCCTGGCTTGTTGACAGAATTTAAATTTGCTCTTTAATTTTCATGGCAGATTTAGCTTGTTGATTATATCCTTGACTGTTTTCTCATGTGTTAGTAAAAATGTCAATGTTCACTCTTACTGAGTTCATGCTATTAAGATATTAATGAATTCATTAAAAAAAGCCATTTATAAAATATTTTGTCCAGGTTTCTGTGCTGTATGAGGACCTGAAGAAGCGCGTGTCCCAGTCCAACATGCATGTGCCAATGAATGCTCAGCCCTTGGACTACACCAGTGAATACAGACAAAAGTTCATTCTTCAGGTTGGACTCAGTGATAAGAGTTCATGGAATGTACAAACTGTAAATGATCTCCCAGGTTCAAGTGTAGTGAGATGGTGCACACCTCAGATCCATTCTTGCAGTGAATAATTTTTCATGTGTTGTGTATATATACACAAAATACTGTATGTTGTTTTCAGATTGTATCTCCTGCTCACTCTCTGCCTTAGATGGTCATTGGTGGTGCCTACTACCTTGTCCAAAGTGAAATATATGAAGACCTGGCTTCCAGAGAACTGAATGGCTCCAACCCCAGAACTACTGTGATGGTCGTACCCCTGAGAGATTTTGAAATTGTAACATCAGTCCATGTGTTGTGTCCAGGTGAGGAACCTCCCTCCGTACAGTCTTCTGTACTACAAGCAGCTGCAGTCTCTGTTCCGCCTGTGTGGACAGGTCAAAACCATTTCCTTTGAGAGTTCCAGGTACTGAAGGCCAGTAGCAAATTGGACATGAAACCTCAGCACCTTGTCTGCATTAATTATTTTTATAAAGTACTGTATGTCCGCACACTCATTGTTATGTCTGTGTGTTAAGAGCATACTTGGAGTTCCACAAGACAACTCGAGACTCGGTGGTGCTGCCTGAGGTGTCGCTTGCCCTCCTCTTGGGCCAGCAGGGCCCTCCCATGGAGCTCTCAGTCTACCCCACTGAAGAAATAGAAATCCGTGCTGGGAACAGTCCCGTAGCTCACATGAAATATGCTCGGTATGACTCTGTTCACACATTATTTGAGTGAGTGAAATCTGTTGCTACATTTATTTAATGAAAAGTATTCTACATTTGATCAGTGAGTAAAGATTGCATAAGGGGACAAAAGGATTTTCTGTGTGTATTTTTGTTTTTCATGAAGGCTGAGAACATCTTTTTAGGAAGTGGAGCCCCTGTTCCTCGGGCTGCATCGGTCAGTGCTGCTGCACTGAGCCTTAATGTGATCTGACATGAGAGCACTTGTGGAGCCAGTTCGTTTTATATTG